CAGGGGTACGTGTTTTGTGTGTATTTATTTGTTTGGAGTAGAGGCTAAAGGCATACAATGAAAACAGGGATTGCACTGCGGGGTGTGCCATTTCAAAGGCTTCTGCAGAGACCATACACAGATATATGGGAGTCATGCAGTTGTGTGAATGGAAAACTCACATTGCTTTGTTTTTTTTATTTTTTATTTCAAATGAACAATAAAAACCATTAACATCACAAAACTCAAAACAAAATAGAAAGTTTAAACCAAAACCAAAAATATGATTTCCATTTTTAACAAGTCTAATATTTTATCGAACATAAGACGAAAATGTTATATTTAGTCAAAATCAAAATAATAATTTCTCAATATCTTTTGCGTTCGAAAATTATTCAAGTTTGGCACAGCATAAGGATGAGGAAAGGATGGCAGAATTTTTGGGTGAACTGTCCCTTTAAGATATTAATTAAATTATTTTTAAACATTTTTATTATTATTTTATTAATATTATTAATATTAATTTTAATTTATTAAAATTTAAAAAAAAAAATTAAAAAAATATATTTTTTTAATTAAAATTTTAATATTAATTTTATTAATATTATTATTTTTATTATTACATTATTTTTATTTTTAAACATTAACTGAATTTGACATTATTACTTTTCAGTATTACATGTATTATATGCTTTCTAAATTATGGTCAGAAATTATAATATTAATTGCGAAAATTGCATACCTGACCTTTGTCTTAACTAAAATATACATTTTGTGACATAACAGTTTGACTGCGGTGGGTGGGGCTCTGGAGGTGGATGAGGAGATGGTGAAGGCCTGGAAACAGGCAGAGATGTCAGACAGATGGACCAGGGTGGAGTAGACGGTGGAAGCGTCCATGGATGATTAGACGGCCGTCGAGAGCCCAGAGCATAGTGGGAGGCAGCCAGAGTGGGAAAAGCATTTTTTATGAATTCACAATTTTGTTTTATTATTTTTAAATGGCCGTATAACCGAGTAACACTAATGGACAAGTTTAGTCAAAACAACATTTTGGCTGGAGTGGTCTGGTAAAAGGAGCGCAGTGTCCATGTGGCACATACAAAGAAAGTATACGATTGAGACAGATAATTAAGACATAAGAAAAGATTATAAAAACAAAGAATTTGGTTTTGAATGCATGAACCATAATATTCATGTGGAAACAGAAAACCATGTGATGGTGATCATTCGCTTTGGTTAATTGACAGGTTAAACAGTAAGTGCGTCACTATAGGAACAAAGTATGTGGCAGGAGAAGAGACCAAGTGAATGTGAATACAGCAAAAAAAAAAAGGTATTTGGAAGCTGGTCAGCGTAAGATGCTGTGTATTGTATATATTAAATGAACGATAAGGAGGAACTTTGGAGTGGGATGTGTGTAGATGTTAGTGTGAATCGTGTAGATCCAGTGAAAGACAGTGTGATGTTTTAAATAATCATATGGTTCAGAGTCATGTTTGTTTTTGTGCACAGTTGCTCAGTGGGTAGCACTGCTCTTCCACAATCCGAAGACATGCCGCAAACGTTAATTAGAGAGACCGCAATCGTCCGTAGCTGTGAGTGTGAATTATTCACACACTGGCACGAAAATATTTACTTCATGCCTAATATGATGGAAATATAGATCTAACTAGGATATTGACAACTTTTTGATACTTTCAACTTTCTTTTGAAAATGTACAGATTTTATATTTTTATCCAAGTGGATGATATGTTTTAAAGTTTCAAATTAGGATATTTGTGGTGTTGTTTCCCACCAAAAACATCACTTTGCTGGAGGAAAAGTAATACTAAAAGTTAAAATTAATTTTCTCAACCTGTGTTTTAAACATTTTGATTGCAGGAAAGAAACAAATGTTTATTGATAAATTGGCATCTTTTCATGCTGGAATATTTAAAGGGATAGTTCACACACCACACACACACACACACAGACACACAAAAATGCAATCATTAACTCACCCTCATGTCATTCCAAACCCATATGACTTTACTTTCTTTTGCGCAATATAAAAGAAGATATCCTGAAAAATGTTTCGGCTCATTTTGTTTTTTACCCCAATGACTTTCATTGCATGGACAAAAGCAGCTGAAACATCATTCGAGTGTGGGGAGTTTTTCTTGAAATTGTAAGTTTACAACTTTTTAAATGGCAGGAAAAAGTTGTCTTTTGTTAGAGCATTTTAGAATTCCAAGTGTCTTCCCCTGAGCACAAAGGAACACTATGCTGACAGTTCAGAATTTGTGTCTGCATGCATTTTGAGTAATTTCAGCAAGTCTATTTAAATTTACAGAGCAACTAGAATTGTACACGTGGCAAAAGAATTTGACACATTACGTCTGATTCTCCTGGTTCTTTATTCCGGATGTTAAAAGTCAGAATAAAACTGAAGTTTTCTGTCAGAGTAATGATAAATGATTGTGATCTGTCCATTCAAAGGTAACATGATGGAGGCAAGCAGTGATTAGGAGTGTTTTGGCTGATGGTGATTTGTGGCAGGATGGGCTGATCCAGCTGTAAAGATGAGGAAGAGGTATAGGGATGTTTTTTAAAGGTGCCATCAAACTAGACATGGTGCTCCATTTACTTCCATTCATACTCATGTGAACACAGGAGAATAGAATTGCATGTCATTGCTTGCATACCTTTGGTGAGCACTGAACTATGAATTTGCCTAGTGAAATGGCATTTTACACCCTGAAAAATGATCTAAAGGTCACAGATTGACCTCTAAATACAAGACAATTAATAATAATAATAAGATACTGTATTTTAATAATTTGAATTAGAGCATGCATTTCATATCCTATTGCCCATTCAGTTCAAGTAGGATCAGATTTTCAAAACCTATTGTGACCGCAGTATGGTGAGAGTAGGATGCTAATCTTCTGGCAGTTGAGAGAGCTGGTGAGATGAAGGGTTCTATGGAACTGTGGGATGTACATTTGAGCAGGAAGCAGCTTACACTTCCTCACAGATGAAGCAAATTAGCCAACTGTATTTGGCTGCCATTCTCATATCCACCCCCTCTCTGAGTCATGTGTCATCTCTAGGTGTTGCTAATGAGCTCTAATTGTCCGCAGCTGTTTCTCGTCACACAAAACCACATAATGAGTTGTTCTCAATCGGATGGCTGAGTCCAATAAGGCTGCATATCTGGGCTACCAGGTCAAATTCAAAGGACGTCCCAATTTGAAGGCAGCCTTCATTTGCGTTCTTCATTCTGCCTGTTTTGATGGATACATAAAGAGTATCCTGTATCCTCCAATCCCACACAACACAATAGATTGCACATTTAAATTCACAAAAAAATTATTAGTAGATTGACTTGGCACTGAGCTTGTCCAAACGTAATGCAAGAAAGAAAAAAGATTACAACAAGATTTTGTTTTGTTTTAAATTAATCAAATAAGGCAAAACTGTGCATGATGTAAAATACTGGGAAACCACAGATGTTTGCCATTATCCTGTACTTCATTAATAGAAAAGTAGTTAACATAAAGGTTTTTAATATAAAGTATTTTTCTTTTAATTATGATTTTTAATAGCATTTTTTCAACATTTTTATGACGATGCCATAAGTGCACTTAGACTGTCTCATTATTGCATTTAATGCTGTAGACTCTTAACCTACATGTACAAGTCTCTGAAGGACTGGACTAAGGACACAGCCTCACTAGGGTGCAGCCTTTCGATATTCTTCCTTAAAGATTGGCTGTTGTTGATCTGCTTAGAAAGTGTGCGTGTGCAGCCTGAGATGTGTGTGCGTTAACAGACACGTGCATATATGTCAAAGTTCTGTTAATGAATCATTAGCTGTGACAAATGATAAGTAGAAAGCTGATATTTTGAACACTGCTCACATTTAACACTGCTCCCTACTATTGCTCAAAAGCTGTGGTGTATGTTAACGTTTTTATTACGTGTAAGTTATTCATATGTGGTTTTCTCCTGATATTCCTCATTAGTCTACTGTATAATCCAAAACAATAAGCAGTGGGGAGTTGCAAAGGTAACAGCAGGCAGTGTCGATTCACCTAATTCAAGACTGTTAAAATGTATATCATGTGTTCTTAATCTGGGTGGTTTTCATGTGTTTAAACAAGTTATCATTCTTTCATTTGTTTTGTAAGGTAAACACAATTATCACAGATTGTTTATTTAAAAACACAATGTGCGCATGTGCTGCTGCTGTTGTAACTGCTTTCACAGGTAGGATATAAGATGTACACGTGTTTAAATAAATTCTAAAATCCACGTTATAGCTGGTTTTAAGATCTAGAGCTCATTTTGTTTAGTTTTTTCTTTATTCAAACAAGAACCAAATGGGTTTTTACTTTTATTTTACTTTTATTATTTTACATCTTAACAACCATTTGATGTATAATGATTTTTTATTTCCTTTTTTTTCTATTTAAGGGGTCATATAATAGTATGCACTTTTTCAAGTTGATTGTACTGAAATGTGTGTTGGCAGTGCCTGTACACAACCATCATATAATGATAAAAATATATCCAGTGTTTTTGTTTTAATCTCCTTATACTGTACGTTTTCCCCTGCCTCAAGTTGATACACTGGAGCAGAATGGCGTTTAAGCGATTGTGGTGTTCTGTTCTTGGGTGTAATAATGAACACAGCATTCATTTTGATGTTCCTAAATCCGAAACGCTGAAGACGCAGTGGCTGAGTTTTGTTTTCAAAGGGAATATTCCCCTCAAGCAACGTCAATGCTTTCGTGTTTTGCTTTCATGTTCATGCTAATCTTTTCTCACAAGACAGCTTTATAAACGAGGATCAGAACAAAGCTGGTTTTGCTAAGAAGCTGCTCCTGAAAAAAGAAAAAAACAATCGGTACCAACTATTCATGTTCCTGCTGCACCTCCAGAAGAAGTGAGTATAAAATTGTATATTTTATATTAATCTTTGCAAATCGCTTGTACGCCTCACAAAGAATGCGGCTAAGGTTTACACTCAGGGTACATTACGGCATGTTTAATATAAATTTACAATCTAATTTACAATCCCACGTTTATAATGAACAACGAGTTATTGTTGTGTTATTACAAACTGAGTATGTACACAAAGATAGAACAAAGTGACATTATGTTAACCAACCATTCAAAAACCTGAGTCCTGTTCAAGCCTTAATTGTCGAACTTCTTTGCGCCCCGTCATCTTGTTCCGGGTCCGACTCTGGTTCAAATTGATACGGTTGCACAGATGTGTCAAACTGGTCACATTAAACTGCACCAGTTACTCATACTCGTTGCAAGAGCAATGGGAATTCAGTTCATATATTTAATAAAAGGAATAATTCACCAAGGTGTAAATGGAAGTTCACACCAGAGACCTGGCCACCCTATAATTTTTATAATTAATACTAACACATGTAGCACATTATATATTTAAATATATAGCTCAGATTTGGCCCAGAGGAGAACATAGTGTAGTAGCTGTAAAACAGCTGTAGCTGCTTGAGACGTGTGCCATTAAAAGCCCCTTTAAATCCTACCAAAGGTAGAAATTGTCTGATACAAAACACAGCATACATATAGCGAATGAATAAAGGTTAGAAGTAGCAAGTGAACAAGGCAGGCTGGAGAATGTCTCGGATCGCCAGTTTGGCTTTTGACAGCATAGAGACTACAGTGGGCTGGAAATCCAAGAAGACACGAAGGTGCACGAAAACAATGATGAACCCAACTGACCACAACTCTGGAACAGACGAGAAATAATCCAGTAGGCAGGAACTGGAAACAGTCGAACTGCACAGACAATGAGACAAGGATTACCAGAACAATCTGACAATGAACATGACAAACACAAGATAGAATTCATAAACGAGACACACCTGTGACTGATCTGATTGCCAGTGATAGGCAATTCGCCTTATTCACCTGGCGGCCATTTTGAAAACACGAACGCCGTTGAGGGGTACACAAACCATATGTTGTGCCGAATTTCGACCCCCTGCCAAATTATTACCCCCCTCATTGAAGCCAATACCTGATTGCCTAATCCCACCCCTAATCCTAACCCCTCCCCCACAACTAATATTAAACCTACCAATGCTAGGGGGGTAATAATTTGGCGGGGGTCGAAATTCATCAAAACAGTGACCGCGGAACAAAAGCGGTAGGAAGGCAGCTGCCGCTGGCGGAGCGCCGTCAAATGTGTTTGCGATTACACTATTGTGATGCTTCTACTGCCGACGGTCCGCCGACTCATTGCTATCTGGGTTGGGCCTGTTTTACCTATATTTACGTCCAAGTTCACAGCAGAGTTGTGTTTTTTGCCGTACATGTTAAAGAATACAGGATTGAAGTGGGTTTTTCGCTTGTCGTCTGCAATGAATGGAGCATTACTAAAAGCACTACTGATTCTACCATTTGTTTTTTATTTGATTATGCATAACTGCTACATTTGTCATCGCAACGTCTATACAATTGGAATAACGCCCATTTTGCATATATGCATCACAAAAATAAACAGTCAAAATACAAATACAAGTTTATTTTTTAATAATTATTTTTAGTTTTTGAATTTTGGCAGGGTAGGCAGTGCCTAGTTTGCCTACCTAGACTGCAAGACAATTCCAAGAGGGTCCTCATAGCATCGGTGCTCGGGCCCTAAATAGAATGGTGAAATCTTGGGCGCTTCCTTAGGATTGCTGGATGACATTGCTCTTGACAATACGGCCAATTAGAGGCAGGGCTCTTAGTTCCGCACGAAAACTGTGATTGAGCCAACAGTATATGAAGGGGTTATAGCAGGTAGAGCTCATGGCCAGCCAGTGGAAAGTAAAGTACAAGGCGTTATTAGCCTGGATCATTTTACTTGACAGCAGCACAACGTAACAGTTTAAAGGAAACCAGCAGACTGCAAACACAGCCACCACTGCGATCAGCATTTTCAAAGTCGTCTTCTTCCTTCTGCGATGAGCGACCGATTGAGCCAGTGTGACATCACCGACGGCATTCCGGAACCAAACCTTCTTGGCCACCACGAGGTACGATAAGGAAATAATTGCTAAAGGCAACACGTAGAGGAGGACAAAGGAGGCAAGATCCAGATATTTCCAGAAGAGATCAGAGGGATGAGGGAAGCTGGGCAGGCATACCATCCGTACTCTATTATTGCTAAAAGAATCAAGAAGAGAAATCTTTTAGATGATAGGTCACTCACAAAATGAAAATTCAATCATCAATAACTTACCTTCATTCCTTTTCGTTCAGCCACTCTGAGTTACGCCAGTGCCTGACTAAATGAGGGTTTCACTTAAAAGCCTATCACCTTCAACTCAAAACAATGCCATGGGTCTGCGGAATTTGCATAGCACAAATCCGCCCCACTACGCGGGTATAAAAGGAGCTGCCCGGCAATCTCGCATTATGTTTTTGTTTTCTGCAAGCCTTTCTGAGTTCTTCACCTGAGACAAACGACTCTTCAGTGCTGTTGGAGTTACGTCGTGTTCCAGCGAGATCGCATTACCTGCTGCTGGTCTGTGTAGTGCCAACAGTGCTCGGACTGCTTTATATGAGACCACTTCAGCACTGGCTTCGTGATCGAGTCCCGAGGTGGGCATGGCAACAGGGCGAGCTCCAAGTACAAGTTACTGGACATGACCCCAGTGCCTTTAACATGTTAATTGCCTTGAGTTTATGGCAGTACGTTTGGCTCGCTCAAGCTATTCCATGATCAAGGGGACCCTCAGCTTGGATGCATTAGTGCGCAGCTGGCCATGGGGCCTCCACAAGTACGTGTTTCCCAAAGTGAGCCTTCTTGCACAGGTCCTGTGCCAGATCAGGGAGGATGAGGAGCAGGTCCTTTTGGTTGCACCTCATTAGCCCACCAGGACCTGGTTCTCTGAACTGGTCATCTTCGCGACAGCCTCTCCCTGTCCAATCTCTCTGAGGAATGACCTTTCTCAGACACGGGGCACCATCTTGCACCCACGTCCCGATCTCTGGAACCTGTATGTGTGGGTTCTAGACGGGACGCAGCAGGTTTGAGTACCCTACCCTACCCCTTCGTCACCTGGTGTTCTTCTCGCCAAGAGTATCTCAGGAAATGCCAGATCGGGTTGGTGCGGATCGGGTTGGAATGAAGGCCATTTCCTTCCACCCAGAAGTTTTACGTGGCTGCGATCTCTGTGCACCACGACCTTGTAGAGTTGAAATTGGTGGGACTAAATCCTCCTTGCTCTCTTTTTATACCCTTTTGGGACCTCACAGTGGTTTTATCTACCCTGCAGAGAGCTCTCTTTGAGCCATTGCAGTCAGTCAAGCTTAAGTTCCTGTCTATGAAGACAGTGGTCCTGGTCGCTTTGGCCTCCATCAAGAGGGTAAGGGAACTGCAGGCATTTTCGGTTGACAAAGCGTGCCTAGAAGTCAGGCCGGCTAACTCTCTTGTCTTGGTTTACCAGACCCAGGGTCAACCATGAATGCCCCCTAGGGGTGAAGGAAAGGGTTATGAAAGAGACCTTCCATTTCGTCAGTCACTGACGTAACTCTGAGAGACTGAACAAAAGGGAACGTCTTGATTACGTATGTAATGTTACGTCCCCCTGCCACAACCACTGTACCGCTTGAAGTTCAGTCTCAGCTTCTCAGAATAACATAATGTGAGATTGCCACACAGCTCCTTTTATACCCATGCAGTGGGGCGAAGTTGCGATATGCAAATTTTTTGTATTTATATTTTTTAATTTAACAGTGATTTCTTGTGCCCCTGCACTGTAAAAAGTATTTGTTGACATTTTTTGATAACATGACATTATAACATTATCATTGTTTTCATCTAATCAAATTGTCACAAAGTATTTTTTACTTAAATAAGATTTTCACAATAAATAAGAAAGAATAAGATAAATTTCATACATGAATTCAAAGCGCAGCAGTTTCTGATAGATGGCATGTGGTAGAGAGAAGCAGGACCCCATCAGCCAGATAGCAAAGATCCAGGCTACGCCCTGAAGCCGAGACATCCGCTGTTTCATTGGATGCATCACCACCTGATGGAAAGCAACAATCCTCAATAATGACTGCACATTGGTATGCAATGATTCACTGAGTTTTGATAAGAACTGTAAAAAAGCTATTCACTCTAAAGGTTTAATTGATAATATTTTACAAAAGACTGTTTGTTAGAACATTTACCTGGTGTCTATCAATGGCGATGGCAACCAGTGTAAGAACAGAGACATGGACAGAACAGTACTGTGCAAAGCGGCTCACATGGCACATTACCTTCCCGAACACCCATGTACTGTAAACAAACCGAACCTGAGAGAACAAGTAAAGTGGTCTTGGATCCAGATGCATGTAAGAATTAAAAAGCATGCTTGCAGCATGTTCACCCCCACCCACTCACAGAGAGATGAATCATGCTATAGACAACATTCCAAAACTAGAGGAATTATGCATCATAATCATTCTCTTTTGCATGCGCTCTGTACATTATTAAACTGCTTCATTTTAGCCTAGCTATTAATCGACTCAGTGACAAATATGGATGCCCAAGAGGATAACAATGAGAAATCTAATCCTGTTTTAAACCCATGTGTCAAGTTCTTAAACATTTCTATTTAAGTTGGATGATTTTAAGAACATTATTGTTTGTTTGCTTTTACAAGTATTATTACTTAATGTGTCTAAGATAAGAAAAAAAGCGCTAAATACTTAATAATTAGCTATTCACGAGTGTATAACAAACATTTTCAAAAAGGATTTTTTTTTAAGTACTTAATGTCAAGTGTTTGACTCAAGTCAAAATAAGCTCATAGCCAAAAAGGAGAAATGTTCAATTGTTTTCTTGTCACATTTTTTTTCTTTTGTTGGTTAGCCCACACATTTGGCAGACAAATATTACGAAATGTCATAAATGAACTACTTAGGCTATAGATAGACTACAAATATGTTGTATTATAATTGTATTTTAATACAAATTAAAATAAAACATCAATAGAGCCATTTGTTTTCTTATTAAGTGAATAAGAGAAACTCGTAAACTTACCAGTGTAAAAGGCGTGTTGAGGAGAGTTATAAGGATGTCAGCAATGGCTAAATTCATGATGAACAAACTTGTCACTGAGTGCATTCTTTTATTCTTAATAACAACGTGACAAACCACCACGTTTCCGAAAAGCGATATGAAGATAATAACGGAATATGAGACGACGAGCAGCGCTCTGATAGTCGGTCTGTGGGATTCAGACTCGTAATTCGACCCTCTCATCGCGTCCAAAGAGAAATTAAAAAACGTAGAGAAATTCTGAAAGATATAAAACTGCGAGAATACATCTAAGGAGGTGTTTATGAATGTCATTGTAACGAGATTATCCGGAGCAGTGTCAAAAACACCAAAGCGCAGTTCGGAGTCACTTTTGAACACAGTTCGGAGGTGTTTGAGTCAACCTGCTGCGAGTCAAACGCTGCACCAGCGTCAAGTGATGCGGATTGGATGAAAGCCACGGTCAGCGATTCGTCTCATCCTCTATTCTCACAGTCAGACAGTCAATCACAATCACAGTCTTCGCCTGCCACTTCACAAACTCGCACACGTACACCATCACCACTTCCCAGCAGTATGCACCTCTCAGTATGCACCTAACTAACGAAGGTCACTTTCCAATCTTGTTCTGGACTTCTTCAATCAGACAAAAGTAACAATTAAAATGGAAATGCGTTGTGTATGGAAGTAAAATAATGCCAAATGTTTTTGTAAAAGAAAAAAAAAACACTGTTGAATTGCAGGCTACTTGGAAAAAAAATAGGCATTGCATTAACCATGCTTGCATTTTAATGCATTGTATTTTTAGGGCTTGCATTTTTATGGGATGAAATTCAACATGGTTTAATATTTCAATTCAAAACATTTCTAAAACATTTACATTGTTAAAAATTCCTAAAATCGCTAAAATGTCAAATGTAAACAAATACTAAGTTGCGCTGCCTCTGTGAAGTTCTGAAGGCGTTGAACCCATAGACAGTAAAAGAAAGGTTGAACCTGGCAACCGATAGCTCTCCTACCATCATGGCTGACCGGCTCAGACCCCGCCCAAATCGGCACGTGACTCCTTGCTCTCAATTACCAATGGGTTTACATTAGTAATGTACCATTATAAAATTTATCATGATAATTTGTATTGATAAAGCTCTTAAGGATGCAGACTAGACTTGAGTGTTAAAGGGATACTCCACTTTTTTGAAAATATGCTCATTTTACAACTCCCCTAGAGTTAAACTGTTGAGTTTTACCTTTTTTTAATCCATTCAGCCGATCTCCGGTTCTGGTGGCACCACTTTTTGCATAGCTTAGCATAGGCTACTACTATCACTGAAGTGCACAAGACCAGTTGCAGCATTTCTCCCAAAAAAATTACCAAAGTGTTTCGATATTTTTCCTATTTAAAACTTGACTCTTCTATAGTTACATCGTGCACTAAGACAGACGTTAAATGTAAAGTTGTGATTTTCTTCAATGCACTTTAATGATGCACTTCTAAGCTATGCTAAAAGTGGTACCGCCAGAACCGGAGATCGGCTGAATGGATTCAAAAAAGGTAAAACTCAACAGTTTAACTCTGGGGGAGTTGTAAAATGAGCGTATTTCCAAAAAAAGTGGAATATCCCTTTAATCATTGTTATTGCATTTGTTCAACTATGATCATGCTAGTGTGTAAATGATTCTCAGAATATGGTAATTATATTTCTTTATTGTTCCTTTAGACAGCTTAATACAGACAGCTTAATATCAGCTGCCTGAGGGGTCTTCACCGCCCGCTCATACTGCTTCGCCTTGTTCGACCGCTCGGCCTGCTCCGCCCTGGTCGCCCGCACAGCCTGCTCCACCCCGTTCAACCGCACAGCCTGCTCCGCCCTGGTCCCCTGAAGGGTTGTTTCCACCCTGGCCATCCATTCTGCCGCAGTCTGCAGGTCCTTTTCTGCTCCTCGGACCTGGCCCTCCATCCCTCCCCCAGATCCACCTCCCTCCTGGACTGTTTTTTGAGCGTCTGGAAGCCGCTCTCTGGGGTGGCGGTATGTAACGGCAGAGACTATTTATATAGAGACATGCCACTTCCTCAATCCTTAATACAAATGTATAGGGAAAACCCGTAACACCAAAGATGGCGGTTGTATGCAAATGCTTCCCACTGGACAGTTAATCGTCTGCTTTTAACGGTCAGGCCGGGAAACATTTAAATACGTTACTGTTTGAAAAGGCGGCAGATTTGATATGCAGTGTATGTGTACGTGTTGTGTAAATATCAGACATCCCAAGTCTCCCAGAAGTTCCGGGTGTCTCCCGCAGATTGATCGCTGATGACCGTAAATTAGTTAAAATCTCCTGGAATCTAGAGCGAGCGAGCAAGAGCGCGCACATACTGTGTTTCAAACGGTGCAGCGCGTGCGACAGAACCCTTGCGCATGCGCAGTAAAAGTATACCCTGTGGGAAAAACGGCATTTAAACCTTATTTTGGGGCAAAGTCATCTAACTTTTTCAGCGATTTTTATTATATTTTACTGCTGTTTCTATACATGCAGTTTTTATGTCCCGGTGACCAGTGAAAGTGCAGTTCTGACTCTCTGCCCATTCATGTAGATAGAGCCTGGTCTTGTTAAGTCCGAAATAGCTGCCCGGAGGCATTGCCAAGATGGCGGCCGAGTGGCATGACTTGCCTAAAAGGACTTTGGTAATGGTTACCAGGTGGAGTGCCCTTGAGAGTCACCAGAGGGCACTCCACACCAGATGTTCATGTTTCACTCACAACTACATTTCCCAGAACTCTCTGCCTGGACTCATCAGCACTCATCTCATTCACCTGGTTCTCATTGTCTTGTTCAGTTCACACTATAAATACCTTGTGTTCTCATTCACTCATTGCGAAGTCTTGTTTTACTGTTAGTTGCAATTCTGAGCGTTATCCGCCTGTGTTTGCTTCCTGTATTTTGACTTGTGGATTGTTTATCACTGCTGACCATTTTCTGCCTGCCCTGACCCTGGACTGTTTCACTGGACTCTGATTCTCGCTGCCTGCCTTGACCCTCTGCCTGTATCTGGTTTGTCTCTGCCTTTTCTCCATTGTCCCGTTTGCTGATGTTTGTTTGATCCCTGCCTGTTTGACTTCTAATAAATGCTGCGAATGGATCCCCTTGTGTCTGCTGCATCGTAACAACCTTATGCTATGATAAAATCATATAGTTATTCCAATGTGACATGGACAAACAGACACACAGAAAATATATTTGGTTAAATGTCTTTAAACAAAGAACTCTTTCTTGAGTCAGAAAGGTTGCTTGTAACTGGCTCCTTTCTCCTTTGCATTACGTCTGCAGCAATGCATTACATGATTCATATCAGTAAGATCATGCAACAAGTGCCTATTTATTTCATCATTAGCCTACTTCAAAATGTTTTAACAGTAACGCAGTATACATTTGTTATCGTGCTAATAATAGTAAGTACATCCCTCTTGGTTATACTGTGTGAAAGAAAGGTTAATGGATGTTGGTTAATTAGCTCTTAAGAATTTCTTCAAATCTGATTAGGCAATTTTTACATAATAAGATGAACCTCTTTTTTTGTCAGTTGTTCATAATGCAGGCATGGGGAGAAGATTTTGTTCTTTGATAATTATTTAGAACCTTTTAAGCATTTCTAAATTCAGCTCTTCCTTTTTCAGATCTTCTGTCAGAACAGACAGTTTTCCAGCCATACTGTAGATTGCACCCTTGCACATGCATGCTTTCATTTGGAGAGAGAGCCATCTGACTCAAAGCCACGTATATTGTCTTGAATGAATGTCAGTCTATTCAGAAATTCTCAGCCTCGCCTTACTGGGTAAGCAATCTTTTCATATACAGTTTGTTATTCTGGTTGAGAAGTCTTTTCACATCCTGAAAGAAATCAATTACAGAAGTGGTCTAAATATTTTTTTTTCTCCAAAAATGTCATTCTGTGGAATTCTCAGGATCAAAAAATGTTTGTCCAATCATTGAATTCGGTCCAAATGCAATGATATGATGTCCTACTTGCCTGTTTATTTCCATTTTTTCCCCCCATATTTTTCACACATGCAGACATCACACATCATCAGCACGAGCACGTTCCGTAAGTCTATGCAGAGTTGTGGACAGACAATCACCCGAGCACCGCACAAACAATCAGCAGCCACCTTTTAGCCACCTTTTTGTATGTTTCCAAATAGTGCAGTGACTGTTTTTCTACCATTTATGTCCTGCTGAAATGAGATTAGGCAGGTTAAGCAGCACCTCTGGGGGTTCAGGATGATGTCAGCTGTTTTACCTGGGATGTAAATGGACATGACTCATGTCATGACTGCTCTGTTTTCCTCCAGTCAGCAAAAAAACTACTCCCACGAAAGTCCATCTTACATTTTCTGTGAAACGAATGAAAGTGAAAGTATTTTTGCCAGAAAATATTTTTCTATATTACTAATGACCTGTCATTATTCGTTGGGTTTTGACTGTGATTGCAATCACTCACACCAGTTAATGTGTCATTTGCTCTATATAACAGACTTCTCTGGATTTCTTTTTCGTCCCCGTCTGTCGAAGATGACAATGTTAGGCTATAGTCATCAAAACAAGGCTAGTCATCATTCAGAGAAGCGACAACCTTGGCTAAACAGACCGATTTCAAGAGGCTCCACTCAAATAAACCAATGATAGCTTATTGCTCTCTAAATGCACTGTCTGCACCAATCTAGCCCTTGGAAATTGTATATGAAGAGTTGAGATGCAAAAGCCTCTAAGTGCCATTTGAAATTTTCTTCAAAAATGATCATTTTTATCAAGTTTGTATATTTAAGTTGAGTGATTTCACTTAAATGGCAATGAAGATTACCTATTAATTGTCATTTAAGTGAAATTACTGAACTTAAATATACAAGCTTGATAAAAATGGTCATTCTAGGACAAAATTTCAAATGGCACTTAGAGGCTTTTGCATCTGAACTCTTCATATGTTGATTTCTGGTTATTTTGGCACATTTCATTTCTGCTGCTCTACACATGTAGCTAGTGAACATATCTGGTATGTACTGCCATCTAGTGGTGTGGGAAAACATAAAGTAAATCAAATTCTTTGTGAATGATCACCTCTATGGATTGGTACAAAACCACCAGTAGCCTATGTTCATTTATTTTATATTTGGGTTAACCACAGCACACCTCATTGCTTAATAAATGCAATCCCCCCACATTTGCTCTAAACTCTGTATTTTCTTCTCAGTACTGTATCTAAAGCCTCCGGCATCCACTGCGGCGTATCATATTAATGTTACTGTCATATTCAACCTGATGTCCATCCACTGTCGTGACATCAGAAAATCCTGGACTACATGACACAATAATAACAAACATATTATTTACACAATTACTCTGAATGTTAGTAAAATAATCATCCTTTCTGAATTGTAACAGTTTGAGTTTGCAAAAAAGTTAGAGACAGTTACACTAAAAACAGTAGAAAGGGATCACGTGCGCTTCAGCCTAGTTTGTGCTCACGGAACAGGACACAGGAATCAAATCAAACAACCCAAGGTAACTTAAGACCAAGGAGCTGAACCGGAGCACAGAACGTTTTAAATTATTTTATTAATAAAATGATAACGTTTCGCCTTCCATGCGTCTTCTTCATAGTCAAACACTAAACACGATGATGAGAGCCATGCAGGAAGGACTAGAAGTGTGCATGACAGGCCCAAATTTAAAAATAATTTCAGTTAGGTGAATTTCACTTTAGTTTTTTTCCCTTTTACTTCGTTCCTGGTGTTTCAAAAGCAATGAATGTGCTTTGCTGCATTTTTGGCAATGTTCACATTTTTGGGTTATTATGACAAATCTCATGGGCCTAATAAGTCGACAAATGCCTTATATTTGGGTTGTACAGAGTGGAGAAATAGAGCACGGATGCTCAATGTATAGAAGTCATGCATAGAATTATAGGTAAACTGAAAGTTTTTCAAGTTCAATCCACAAAATAGTTTCTGAAACGTAAAACTATCCAACAAGGCAAGCTTACTGAAGATTAAGCAACATATCAAAACAGGCATCCAAATTAATTTTGAGTTGGCAAACTAATGAAGGCTATCCAAATAACCTGAAAAAGGGAAAGGGTGAATGTGCAATGAATGTGAAGATTTAAACAGCAGAAGCTAAGTGTTGTTTTATTCTGGGTGTGCAAGTGAAAGTAAGTGCACTTGCAGTAAAAGTGAAAGAGACTTGAATGCTTAACTAGTGTGACAGGTTTCACAGTTCACAGCAGGAAAGGCGAAGACTTCTCTGAACATACAGATTTCATAACTCGCAGTTTATCTTGAGAAAACCTGTGTGAGCTTCAAGTCCTCTGCAAATTTTTCAAACGAGACTGGAGAAATTTCATCAGAAAAGGTAAAGAAACAAGCCCTGGTGGGTCTGTTGCACACACAACTGTTTAAAATGTGAACGAATAGTAAAGACTTTAAAAGTAGAACTTATAATACGACTTGTTGTGTTACTGTGACAATGACGTACATTTCAATACTCCAAGACAATAAGTAGAAAAGCAGATTATTACTATAGGTGTATTATTATAAGCAAATGCCAGTAAAGATAATATTGAAATATGAAGTCCTTTTTTGTGATGCTGTGATTGGTTAGATGGAATTATTTTATTTCTTTAACAGTTTTTTTCTCTCCCTTTATTTAGGAGAGAATAATGGCATCTGCAAGCAGCAGTAAGGCTTACAATTCTGTCACATGATAATATTTCAGTAACACATAATTTAGGTCATGTACAGTCAATAATGTGTTTCTCTCTTCCTTCACAGACGAGTTTTATCTTATTATCCCTAATGAATCTCAGAGTGCTGAGGTCAAACTGGGGTCTGATGTCACCGTACCGTGTCATCTGTCACCTGAAATCAGTGCTGTTGACATGGAGATCAGGTGGTTTAAGGAGACAGACTGTGCTTGTCTCTATAAGAACAGAAAGGTGATTGAAGGAAGAAGCTACAATGGCAGAACAGGTCTGTCCACTAAAGAGCTGAACAGAGGAAATGTTTCCTTGAACTTCAGAGAGTTCAGAGAATCAGACATAGGGGTTTACCTGTGCCAGGTCATCAGTGAAGACAGAACAGAGGAAATAACAATAGGATTAGAAGGTGAGCATCCCAAAACTTCACTCTACATCAGCTCAATGTCCTCAACAGTCTCCGAGAAGTTAATCTAATCTTAAACAACCCCAATAAAACCCATGCTCATGCTTTAAATTGTGTCTTGTTCCTTAGCAAGGGAAGATTCTGATGGCCAACCTGTAAATCAGCCATCAAAGATTCAAGGTAGACAAGTTCATCTGACACTTCATGAGGTAAGTTAACTAAAGAACTACTTTACATTATCCATTAACGTAATGTAATAACTTGATGCATTAGGCTATAGTTTTTTTTATTGCTTCCTATAGGTTTGATTAAAAAAATGTATGCACAGGGATCCTAAACCCCACATCAGCAGGATTCATTATAAGCAGCTGTTTTGCTGTCCATAATTTTGATTTTTTTTTTTTTAATCTAATTGTATGTGCCCAGCCAGAATAAACATACACTTTACATTGTAAGCAAGTGAAAATCAGGTCATAACTGATCTAATAAGAAAATGGATGCAAACAGATATACAGTAAGACATGATTGTTTGACGTGATTGTCTAAAGTAACCAATGCAATACGGAATCAGTTCTAATCAGAACTGACTCAGTCAGCATATGGTCATAGTTTTAATAAAGACATTTTTGTTGACGGAATCCATCTGTAACTGTAGAAACATAATGGACTCTTAAGACCCTTTTTCTTTACTTCCACAGTCAAACAGAACATGGGGAGAGAATCAGAGAATGAAAATGGAGGAATCTGCTTTAATGGCAGGTGAGTGTTGTTAAAGTTCACTATGTTTGTATGTTAAAAATCAGGACTGACACGTTAGGTAGTGTCACAAGGTCTGACAGTGCTGCTCCACCACAGCTCTCAAAGAAATGAAAAAGAAATTCAGGTTTAGAACATAGAGCACCTAAACCAGGCAGACTATAGTGTAGTGAATTAGCTCTTTGAAATATTAATAATGTAGCTTCTTCCATTTTCTAATGATTGCTCCAACAGTGGACCTTTATTCACCAAGCTGCTTGGCAATTTCCCCGTAGCCCTGTCCAGCCTTATGGAGGCGTACAATTTTGTCTCTAGTGTCTTTGGACAGTTCTTTGGTCTTGGCCATGTTAGTAGTTGGATTCTTACTGATTGTATGGGGTGGACAGGTGGAGTGGATGAGGACATTTTAAAGGCAGACTAACAGGTCATTGAGGGTCAGAATTCTAGCTGATCGACAGGTGTTCAAATACTTAATTTTCATGTATATATAGTATATAGAATTTATAGGTTTAAAAGGGTTAGAAGAATGAAGAGTGTCACAACTCTCTGGAAATTCCATTGGGTCATACCATACAGCTTGTTATCAGTCTTAATGTGCCCTGTAACCGGTTCACCAGGACACCAGGTTCTGCCAATAGGCTTCATTTGTGGGGGGAATTTCATAGAACTTTGTTGGAAGAGTGAATTTGTTGGATTCTTCATTAAATATAATTATTAATTTGTGTGTGTCTGATTGGTCCAGACCAGGTCCAGACGCTACAATAGGTACCCAGAGTCTCATCTCCCACGCTTAAACTTGTATGTATAAAACACAAGGAGTACAATAAAGAATGTTTAACTTGACTAGGAGACAAAATGGAAAAGCTTCAGGAGAGGGAAAGGCCAAAACAAAAACCAAAAATTAGCCGGCTAACTATGGTTACACCTCTTTACTACACATAGGAAAGAAAATGAAAATAAACAATATAAGCTTACCTCCTGGCTAACCTCAAAACTGGAGAAAGCGTGGTAAAAATAAACAGGCACCCTTCTCTCTAAGGTGTGCTCAACACACTCTGTCTGGGCTAAAAATAGACATTGCCTAAAACAGCGTCACATACATTTAATAATAAGCTATGTATCAGGGAAATACCGTCGGGTATAGATGCATTTAGACATCATTATGTGATTTCCTTTTTCAGAGCTTGAAGTGAATTATGTGAAGGTACTTCACCAAACGATATTCAAGGTTTTCAAAAATCAAGGGAAAAAACTGGAACAAACTGAACTACAGTTAAAGGCATCTAAGACTGATTTGGAAAGAGTCTTACAACAATTAGAAACAATCAGAGAAAAATATGGTCTCCTAGAAAATAATAAAGACCTTGATATGAAAGAATCACAGATGCAACAAATAGAAAAACAACTGCTACAAATGACCAAATGCATTGAAGAGAAACAGAATCAGCTTGAGGAGAAAGACAAACAACTGGAGGATATCAGCAAACAGATCAGCGAGAAAGAGAAACTGCTGGAGAGCACAATCAAAGAGATGGAAACTAGTAAACAACAACAACTACAGACACTGATACAGGAGCAAATGAGACAGCAGGAAATGCTGGAGAAGAAAGAACAGTTGAGGATTTCAGGTAATAAATTTGATCATGAACATATTAATATGGGTGTTTAAGGAAATAACCTTTTTGATCTAACATCTGGGATTGTGTTTATGCTTCTCTCAGAGTTTAATGAAAAAGCCAAATGTCTTGAAGAAACAAAATCTCTTCTAGAAGAAAGAGATGGAAAGATTAAAGATCTGGAGAAAGAGAAAGACAGACTTAATGAAGAACTTCAAGACAAAGACAAACGTCTCAAGGACATTACTGCCAAACTGATTCAAACAGTCAGAGAGGTTGAAAAGAAACAGAATCAGCTTCAGGGGAAACACACACAACTGGAAAACATGCACAAAATGATGAATGAAAAAACGAGACGTCCAGAGAACAAATCGAAAGATCTGGAAGCCAGTAAATTTCAAGCAGAGCAACAGGACACTAAAAGCACACATCTGGAGAAATAACAGTTGTGTATGAGCCAGATTTTTTTTTAAATACTACGGTGGCAGCTTTGTGGGTTGTGGGTCATTTGTGGGTTCTTTTCATGCGTATTCTGCTACTGTGCCTTTCCTATAAAATCTCAGTAAATGTGTGTGTATCTCCCACTGATCATATAAATGACAGTGGTGCATCTCTTTTCATTACATGTAACAGGGTCAGATAACATTCCTGAGTTCAGGGCATTCCTGCAAGTCACTGGTTGTGTAAATGGGGTAGCAGTTGTTTAGTTTACTTTTTTAGTTGACCCAGAAGCATGCAATAAGCAGCAAAAACTACCCTTTGAAAATAGGCTGAACCTATAAGTTTAATGAAATAAAAATGCCAAAATGGTAGCATTTAATGTATCACTGGTTGAATATTCCACAGTTTAAACGTATTCCTATTGTGTTGCATAGCAGCAGTAGATGACAGAGCACTGCGCAGCATATTCCTGCTCAAATCGGCGGACTATTAGTGCGTTCACGTGCTTGTGAACTGGTATTTACCAGTGTGTGGCGTTCAAGTGCTTTTGTTGTCGTAATGTGGTAAAAAGATGGAGATCCAGACCCGTTATTTAGCTAAAACTATTTTAGATTGCTTGAGACATCTGCAACAGCAAGAAAATGATTTATCAAAACTCAAAAGGTAAATAATATGCTGTAACTATTTTCTAGATCATGAATAGTATATACTTTTTACCATTCACGACTATTGCGGTGCTCTCCGCCATTTTGAAATCTGCAACGGTTAAAGGTCAAAGGGGTGGCAGTGGCTTGGTGGTTCATGTAGGTTGTCTACAAACCGGAAGGTTGGTGGTTCAATCCTCGGTTCCACCTGACCAAGTGTCGAGGTGTCCATGAGCAGACCCCTAACCCCAGGCAGCTGCTCCTGACGAGCTGGATGGCGCCTTGTATGGCTGACACCGCCATCGGTGTATGAATATGTGTGTGTGAATGGGTGAATGTGAGGCAATATGTAAAGCGCTTTGGTGGCCATTAGGTCTATGAAAGCGCTATATAAATGCAGTCCATTTACCATTTACCAAAGGTTGTCTCATCTCAGCAACTCGTCCATCAAAATATTCTACGAGTTGCCCAGTGGAAAATACCACATGAGGGGATGTTCATGTGCATTTTCCACGTCTGCTTTTAGTATTTACCATAATTACCATAGCACATGAACGCACCATATCACTCGGGAATTACTTTTCACAAGTAAGATTTAACATTACCTGACTAAAGGTTGTATTTTGTGAATAAAACATCCCATGTGTCCTGTTTCATAGCTACATGTATGACCTTTGCAAAAAATCCCGCGTGAAAATCAGTTCGGTATTCAGTGAGATTTGATTCATTAAACAGCTGACAGCTCATATCACCTGCCAAACAGATTAGAATGAGCGGAGCGGATGACCGGTTTAAGATGGCGGCCCCACGGCTCGTCCGTGCCAATCAAGGGAGCTGCCATCTTGTAGCAGAACTTTACTTGCGTTAGCATTCCCATTGACTCCCATTCATTTTGGTGTCACTTTGACAGCTAATAACTTTACATCTGAGACGTTTGAAGACCCCATTTGTCTTTTATTTATTTCTAAAGAAAAACAAAATATGTGTAAAATGCTCCATTACCTTGTAGCTTATGTTATGGTCCCGTAATGTACATCAGATAATGTACATCAGCTTATGTTATGGCCCCGTACATGTACATCGGATACCTGTGTGTTTACAGGGGTTTCACGCGAGATACCTGTCCTAACTGTATACGTGCATCAGATACCTGTGTGTGTGTTTACAGGGGTTTCACGTCAGATACCTGTCCTAACTGTACATCTGCATCAGATACCTGTGTGTGTGTTTACAGGGGTTTCACGTCAGATACCTGTCCTAACTGTACATCTGCATCAGATACCTGTGTGTGTGTTTACAGGGGTTTCACGTCAGATACCTGTCCTAACTGTATACGTGCATCAGATACCTGTGTGTGTGTTTACAGGGGTTTCACGCCAGATACCTGTCCAAACTGTATATGTGCATCAGATGCCTGTGTGTGTGTTTACAGGGGTTTCACGTCAGATACCTGTCCTACATCTGCATCAGATACCTGTGTGTGTGTTTACAGGGGTTTCACGTCAGATACCTGTCCTAACTGTACATGTGCATCAGATACCTGTGTGTGTGTTTACAGGGGTTTCACGTCAGATACCTGTCCTAACTGTACATGTGCATCAGATACCTGTGTGTGTGTTTACAGGGGTTTCATACGAGATACCTGTCCTAACTGTACATGTGCATCAGATGCCTGTGTGTGTGTTTACAGGGGTTTCACGTCAGATACCTGTCCTAACTGTACATCTGCATCAGATACCTGTGTGTGTGTTTACAGGGGTTTCACGTCAGATACCAACTGTATATGTGCATCAGATGCCTGTGTGTGTGTTTACAGGGGTTTCACGTCAGATACCTGTCCTAACTGTACATCTGCATCAGATACCTGTGTGTGTGTTTACAGGGGTTTCACGTCAGATACCTGTCCTAACTGTACATGTGCATCAGATACCTGTGTGTGTGTTTACAGGGGTTTCACGTCAGATACCTGTCCAAACTGTATATGTGCATCAGATACCTGTGTGTGTGTTTACAGGGGTTTCACGTCAGATACCTGTCCAAACTGTATATGTGCATCAGATACCTGTGTGTGTGTTTACAGGGGTTTCACGTCAGATACCTGTCCTAACTGTACATGTGCATCAGATACCTGTGTGTGTGTTTACAGGGGTTTCACGTCAGATACCTGTCCTAACTGTACATCTGCATCAGATACCTGTGTGTGTGTTTACAGGGGTTTCACGTCAGATACCTGTCCTAACTGTACATCTGCATCAGATACCTGTGTGTGTGTTTACAGGGGTTTCACGTCAGATACCTGTCCAAACTGTATATGTGCATCAGATACCTGTGTGTGTGTTTACAGGGGTTTCACGTCAGATACCTGTCCAAACTGTATATGCATCAGATACCTGTGTGTGTGTTTACAGGGGTTTCACGTCAGATACCTGTCCTAACTGTATATGTGCATCAGATACCTGTGTGTGTGTTTACAGGGGTTTCACGTCAGATACCTGTCCAAACTGTATATGTGCATCAGATACCTGTGTGTGTGTTTACAGGGGTTTCACGCAGATACCTGTCCTAACTGTACATCTGCATCAGATACCTGTGTGTGTGTTTACAGGGGTTTCACGTCAGATACCTGTCCTAACTGTACATACTGCATCAGATACCTGTGTGTGTGTTTACAGGGGTTTCACGTCAGATACCTGTCCTAACTGTATACGTGCATCAGATACCTGTGTGTGTGTTTACAGGGGTTTCACGTCAGATACCTGTCCTAACTGTATATGTGCATCAGATGCCTGTGTGTGTGTTTACAGGGGTTTCACGTCAGATACCTGTCCAAACTGTATATGTGCATCAGATACCTGTGTGTGTGTTTACAGGGGTTTCACGTCAGATACCTGTCCTAACTGTACATCTGCATCAGATACCTGTGTGTGTGTGTTTACAGGGGTTTCACGTCAGATACCTGTCCAAACTGTATATGTGCATCAGATACCTGTGTGTGTGTTTACAGGGGTTTCACGTCAGATACCTGTCCTAACTGTATACGTGCATCAGATACCTGTGTGTGTGTTTACAGGGGTTTCACGTCAGATACCTGTCCTAACTGTATATGTGCATCAGATACCTGTGTGTGTGTTTACAGGGGTTTCACGTCAGATACCTGTCCTAACTGTACATCTGCATCAGATACCTGTGTGTGTGTTTACAGGGGTTTCACGTCAGATACCTGTCCTAACTGTACATGTGCATCAGATACCTGTGTGTGTGTTTACAGGGGTTTCACGTCAGATACCTGTCCTAACTGTACATCTGCATCAGATACCTGTGTGTGTGTTTACAGGGGTTTCACGTCAGATACCTGTCCTAACTGTACATGTGCATCAGATACCTGTGTGTGTGTTTACAGGGGTTTCACGTCAGATACCTGTCCTAACTGTACATGTGCATCAGATACCTGTGTGTGTGTTTACAGGGGTTTCACGTCAGATACCTGTCCTAACTGTACATCTGCATCAGATACCTGTGTGTGTGTGTTTACAGGGGTTTCACGTCAGATACCTGTCCTAACTGTATATGTGCATCAGATGCCTGTGTGTGTGTTTACAGGGGTTTCACGTCAGATACCTGTCCTAACTGTACATGTGCATCAGATACCTGTGTGTGTGTTTACAGGGGTTTCACGTCAGATACCTGTCCTAACTGTACATGTGCATCAGATACCTGTGTGTGTGTTTACAGGGGTTTCACGCCAGATACCTGTCCTAACTGTACATGTGCATCAGATACCTGTGTGTGTGTTTACAGGGGTTTCACGCCAGATACCTGTCCTAACTGTACATGTGCATCAGATACCTGTGTGTGTGTTTACAGGGGTTTCACGTCAGATACCTGTCCTAACTGTACATGTGCATCAGATACCTGTGTGTGTGTTTACAGGGGTTTCACGCCAGATACCTGTCCTAACTGTACATGTGCATCAGATACCTGTGTGTGTGTTTACAGGGGTTTCACGCAGATACCTGTCCTAACTGTACATGTGCATCAGATACCTGTGTGTGTGTGTTTAAAGGGGTTTCACGCCAGATACCTGTCCTAACATCTGCATCAGATACCTGTGTGTGTGTTTACAGGGGTTTCACGTCAGATACCTGTCCTAACTGTACATGTGCATCAGATACCTGTGTGTGTGTTTACAGGGGTTTCACGTCAGATACCTGTCCTACATCTGCATCAGATACCTGTGTGTGTGTTTACAGGGGTTTCACGTCAGATACCTGTCCTACATCTGCATCAGATACCTGTGTGTGTGTTTACAGGGGTTTCACGTCAGATACCTGTCCAAACTGTACATCTGCATCAGATACCTGTGTGTGTGTTTACAGGGGTTTCACGTCAGATACCTGTCCTAACTGTACATCTGCATCAGATACCTGTGTGTGTGTTTACAGGGGTTTCACGTCAGATACCTGTCCTAACTGTACATCTGCATCAGATACCTGTGTGTGTGTTTACAGGGGTTTCACGTCAGATACCTGTCCTAACTGTATATGTGCATCAGATACCTGTGTGTGTGTTTACAGGGGTTTCACGTCAGATACCTGTCCTAACTGTACATGTGCATCAGATACCTGTGTGTGTGTTTACAGGGGTTTCACGTCAGATACCTGTCCTAACTGTACATCTGCATCAGATACCTGTGTGTGTGTTTACAGGGGTTTCACGTCAGATACCTGTCC